TTTTTAACATTAAATTTTATAGGCAAAAATCACAAATATTATGTAAATGCCTGTATACTGCAAAATTTCATGATAACAATGAAAACTCAGCAGAGGTACAGAATAGAAAACCCATGATACAGTGAAGCAGCAATGAGTGAACCATGATATAGTGAAGGCTGACTGTAATTCTTTCTTAGTTGGGTCCTTCTCCAGATTTAGTATCAGGGTGATGCTTGCTTCTAGGAATGAATTTGGGAGAATTGATTCCCTTTCAATTTCATTAAAGAGTTTTAGGTCTTTTCTAAATTTCTTGTAGAATTCAGCAGTGAATCCATCAGGGCCTGAGCTTTTTTTTGTTGTTAGCTTTTTAATTACCTTTGATTTCATTGATTGATATTAGTTTATTTAGGATTTTTGTATCTTGATTCAGATTTGATAATTCATATGTATCTAGGAATTTGTCCAATTCTTCTGCATTTTCCATCTTATTAGAATACAAGTTTTTAAAGTAGTTACCGATGATCTTCTGGATTTCTGCAGTATCCCTTATGATTTCACCTGTTTCATTCCTAATTGCATGGGTTTGAGCCTTTTCTTTCCCCTTTTGGTAAGGTTGGATAAGTGTTTCTTGATTTTACTTAATCTTTCAAAGAACCAACTCTTCAATTCATTGATGCTTTGTATTGTTTTTTTAGTCTCCAATGTGTTAATTTCTGGTCTGATCTTTATAATTGTATTGTATAAGCATTTGGCTTAGCCTGCTCTTCTTCTCGAAGTTTAAGGTTCACCATTAAATTGTTTATTTGTGCTGGCTCTATTTTCCTGATATGGGTATTCACTAGTACAAATTTCCCTCTTAGGACTGCTTTCATTGTGTCCCATAAGTTCTGGTATGTTGTATTGTCATTATCATTTAATTATAGAAACTGTCTAATATCTTCTTTAGTTTCATCTGTTACCCATTGGTTGTTCAGAAGGGTGTTATTTAATTTCCATGTGTTTATGAAGTTCTTGTGGTTTCTTTGGCCATTGATTTCTAATTTAATTGCACTGTGGTCTGATAATATGCATGGGATAATTTCAGTTCCTTTGCATTTACTTAAGTGTGCTCTATGAGCTACTGTGTGGTATATTTTGAAGAATGTCCCATGATGGGTGCTCCTTTATAGGTGATTGGTTTTCCCTAACAGCTTTTAAGATTCTATTCTTGCGTTGAATTTCTACAATATTGATTATGACTCTAGAATTATGATTCTGACTGTAGAATTTTTTTGATTGTGGCTAATTAGACTTATATATGCCACACTTATTTGTATGTCAAATTCTTTTTCTCTACCAGAGAAGTTCTTGCTATGACATCTGTGAACAGTTTTTTTATATCATGTGAGCTATCTCATGCTTTTTCATAGACTTCAGTCAGTCTTAAGTTACTCTTCTTTGCCTGATTTAGCAGCTGTTGTATTGATTTCTCATGGCCCCTTGGTATTTTTAGGAAATTACTGAATTTTTTTCTAGGGCCTCATTCAATTGCTTTGTTGTTACTACTTCAGAGAGGCCAGGTGTGTAGTTTTAGGATTGTCCCGCTTCATTGCCCTCTGGGTTTGCCTTTTGTGAACTGGATGTTTGGGGTTGCATCTTGTTGAAGTGTCTTCTCATTTTCTTTTCTTTTAGTTTAATTCTTGGGGTGATGCTTATAAATTGCCTATGGTATGTTGCTTTATTGCTAGTATTTAGAACCCTTAGGAAATGACTACTTCTCCAAGGTATCTTCCAGCTGTAGCTATTGCAGTCCTTCATGTCCATTGCTCCGCTCCACTGCTGTGTCTCTCATGGAGGCCTCTGGGGTCACCAGCAGTCACTGTGTGTCTGCAGGTTTGAATCACTCCTCTCGCACAGTGAGTCCCGTCTCAGGGAGAAGGCACTGCTGGCTACCTCTTTCCTCTTCATTGACGTTTCTCTCTTCAGTCTCTCTGTGGTCTGAAGTTTGTTCTTCAGATCCTTCCTATGTCTGGGGGACCCACTTCTCTCCTCCTTGTCTTCCTCACATTGTTATATTTCATCACCTGGATGGCAACAGTCAGAGAGGCTCTTTCTCTGCTGCTTACCACCCTGCAATCTGGGTGCTTCCTATCTGGACTAAGATCCAGGTTTTCAAAATAAATCGGTGCCTAAAAAAAAAAAAAAATCAAACCTTTGAATACTTCTGCCAATGTTTGTAATGAAATCAAAGTATAAAAACATGTACTTCATAGTAATTTTTGTAGGTACCCTTTATGCACAGGTTAATATTTTGGTAGGTTAGTTAATTCTGTTGGTCATATGGTCAAGGGTGGGTCCTATTCTTAGATCAGAGGTTAGTAACCAGTAGTAAAGCAGTGTGTCTAGCATAGTGAATTGTCAAGTGGTTGATAGATGACAGGTACTGTCAGTCGTGCTTGGGCACTGTAGTCAGTTCAGGCCTTGCTGAACTCTTGATATGTGGTTCAGGGCTTATTTTGGGCACAAGACTTGGGCCACAAGTTTGCCTTGTAGGATAGTGCTATCAGTCTAAAGACGGCCCTTGAAATGTCCTTCTGTAGTTATGCCTGCCCTCCATTCCTGACCACTGGGCACCAGAATGGTGATTTTGTCTCTTGGTGAATGTTATATAAGTGGAATCATTGTGGTATGTAACTTTGTAGGGGGGCTGCTCTTCAGTCCATTTGTGTCCAGAGTTCATACCTTTTAATTGCTAGTAGCACTCCAGGGTTTGGATATAACATGTGCCTCCATCTACACTCTTTGGAGGCCATGTGTTTCCATTTTCGGTGATCTTGAATAGAGTTGTAAACATTTCCCTGCAGTATTTTACTTGAATACAAAGGAATCATTTCCCTGGTGTAAATACCTTGTTATGGTTTGTGTCTAGATGTCCCCTGCAAAGCCTCATGCAGTCACACGGCAGGCTTTTAGAGTTTACTATTGATTCATGGTCCAATGTTGGGGTTATGGGTGAGAGTGCTATGCCCACCTTAGGGTGGGTAGTTTGCATACAGTGTAAGGGAGGGAAAGAGGCTGCTTGCTCCCCTCCCCTTTTGCTCTGGTTGCTTTTGCTGTCTTCTGCCACCATAAACTGTTGCCCTCTGCCATGTGCCACTCTGCCTTGGAGCCAGCCAAGTATGGACTGAAACCTCCACAAACCATGAGCTAAATAAACCTTTCCTTCCTTCATTTTGGGCATCAGGTATTTTATCTCGACAACGAGAGGAAAATAACCAAGACACACCTAGAGGTGGGATTACTGGATTACAGCCTCTATTTTTTATTGGCTTTTTTTCTGTTGGACTGTAGTATTTGTTTTTGTTTCCAAGTAACATTTTTCAGATCATCATAGTCCTCTTTAGATTTCTTGAATGGAGAATAAACTATATAAATTTTAGTACTGTTGTGTTTCCATTGAATTTGTTTGGGCAGTCTTTGAGTTGTAATTGCAGTAATAGTTACTGTATTGGATTTTTGTGCATGTGATGATGATTTCTCCTCCTCTGTGGCTTTACTTTTGACTGTGGTCTGTGGAATTCGGTGTTGGCTTCCTCTAGGAGGAAGAAATGCAGACTCGCAGGCCCTTCCCAGCCCCTGCCAAGTCAGAATCTGCTTTGAGCAGTATTTCCAGTGATTGACATACATGCTGAGGTGAATGCTGCCTCAAGTAATGGAGGGAGAGAGACTTGGCGAGGGCATGGCCCCTCAAGTGTATCTCTGATCACTCACTCTGATTTCACAGACCAGGAGATACGGCAATACTGGTAGCAAACTAGTACGAATTCTCAGGTTTTGCTGCTTTAGAATGCTCCAGTATCTGAACATCAGAATATCCAAAGTGGTATTGCAGTCATTAGGCTGAAAATGAAGTATAGTGACGCCTTATATTTTCAGGCACTTGAATTCCTGAAGCTGTGTTTGTACTTGAAGGATTTACCACAGAGAGGATGTGCATTTGTAGTTTTTTTTTTTTTTAATGTGGAAAACGTTGAGGAAGGGAAGAATGCAAAATGATAATGTCATGGTTTTTCTTTTCCCTTGTGAGTTTTTAATACAGCAGTTTGTTAATAGTAAAGAAAATTTAAAAATTATTAATCCTGAGAATTAAGAGGCAAATTCTTCTTTCATTAAATTACTAAGTAGTTAAATAAACCTCACACTCAATAGGCACCTACCTATCTTCTGCCTAAGAGTGATCACTGCACCTGACCTGTGGAGAAATGAGGTGATACTCAACAGTAAGAACTGTCTGTGAGGAAGCTCTTTTACTTTGGCGTGTGGCTAGAGGAAATATGGGGAACAGATACAATAAAATATAGAATAAAAGTTGGTTTTAGTGTGGGCTGGCTGAAGAAAAAGTAGTAATGCTGTTTAACTGGGCTCAAGCTTAGTGATTAGACAGAGCAGGTGAAACAGGCAGAAGTAAGAGGAGGAAGAAAAGTGTGTGGAGGCTGGAGCAGCCGCAGCAAGCCCAACAGCAGAGCTAACTGCTCCCCAGGCATAAAGGTCAAAGTGTGTGGGTCTGGAATTAAGACTTGTGAGCCCATGGGGTTGGAGGCAGTGTGATGTCTTGTAATTGAAGTGACAAGGTGGGGCATGTAAAATTCATGGAATTCTTGTGCTTAACTTAGATGGAATATATGTTTTAACTTATATTGAAGTTATATTCAGTTTAAGTTCTATTGAGTTTTGCTATGATCTGAATTAGTTGCAGTTATGCTTGCCTTTTGAGAAGTGTAAATAGTAACCACATGTAGGACACTATATTAACTACGGGCAGAAATTTGAGCTTTTTCCAGTATTAATTTTAAACACTTGAAATTATTTGTTCCTTGTGTCAGTTCAGTATTTCTTGTGGCTTTATGTGAAGACATTTTGAAGTATCTTCACATCGTTGATACAAACAGCTTAATGTATTTTGGTATTCCGTAACACTAAGTTTATATGAATAGGAACTCACTTTCCTTCTCTGTTTGTTTTCTGTGTCTGCCATGTAGGGAGGTATGGAAACCTTAGAACTCCAGAAGGATATAAAAGAAGAATCAGATGAAGAAGATGATGAGGATGAAGAATCTGGACGATTACGTTTCAAAACTGAAAGGAAAGAAGGAACAATTATTAGGCTGTCAGATGTAACTAGAGAGAGAAGGAACATTCCAGAAACTTTGGGTAACTTTTTTTGCCTGTCTTAATCCCTTTTCTCACCCATTTCACATTCCTTTGTAGTTTTGTTAAAATTAATCACACAAAGAAAGAAGGTTGCTGTTTGGACCTGAAGTCTGAATGCGCAGAGCCACGGGGATGTGACCTTCTTCCACAGGAGAGGGTGATGGCAACAGGACACCAGACTATGCCTGCCCTTTGGTCATGGCCTGGGTCACTGGTGGCAAACCTGTGACATACATGTTGTTTGTTTTTCTTTGAAGATAAAAGCTATTAATGTATGAATTGTTTGTTCTAAACTAAAACCTCAGTAGTATTCAGGTTTAATTGCAGTATTGGCACTTTTTGATAAATAAGTGAGTTTTTTGACTTGCAGTTCAAGCACTTGTCTCTAGAAGGTTCACCACCACTGGTCTAGGTAATGTTATGGCAGAATTAGGGTTGTATTCCACAAGAGACCGACTCTATTGAGAACAAGACAGAGTTTAATTTGAGGTTAGCCACCCTTCATCCCTGATTTGCAAATCAGGGAAGTGGTAATGGACCTGCCTTTGTCCCTATCTTATATACATTTTTGGTTTCCATGGTAACAGATTGGAATGTTGTAGCCCTGGCCACACGTTGTTTTGTGTCACGTGACCAGGTCAAGCCCCAGTCAAGAGCCCAACCACAGTGATATATACTTTCTGTACTGTGTTCTGTATGTCCCCCTTTAGACAACCATACATTTCCTTTATGGTTACAATGTTTATCTAGGGCCAGGGAAGGGATGAAACAACCCAGGCAAGGTCATAGGTGGTTATCTGGGCCTGGGTGTTCTTTGTTTTTGGAGAAGCATTCCAAGGCTAAGTCAGGACTGCAAAGTTTACTTTTTACAAGCCCTCCGATTGTTTCTCAAGACACATTTTGAGGCTTGCGTTAAGACTAGAATTATTCTATCTTAAAATGATACGCTGAGTCGCCGTCCCTTACAGTAAAAATCAGTATCAAATCAGCCCTCATTACCAGCGTTATTTTAGGAAGCATTGTTCATAGTTGCTTTTAACCCAGAACATGAGCCTGTGTCTTTGAGTGACAGTACAAATTCTGCAGTGGACACAAACCTCCCCAGGTACAGAGGTGAGCAGCAAAGAGCTGGTCTTCACTGAGCAGGATTTGTAGAACCTGCTATATACTCAGCCTTCTCTCTCTTCCCTGTCCAGTTGCCTTCTTCCTCACCTCTGGCCAAGATTTCCCTGGACTTTCACAGGTTATGATGTGAAGTTACCAGTTGGTCTGAACCAGATTTCGTAGAGACAGCGTAATATTCCTTAGGAACTTACTATGTTTCTAAGAAAGTGCATCAGAATTCTGACTTGAGAAAAAGGAGATGGAGCAAACACCTTAAAATAGGAGGTTAGAAAAAACAAAAATACCTGAAGCGGAATTAGCCACATAGCAGTAGGAGCTTAGTGAGCCTGGGTCGTGATGCGCTTGGTGCCAGGTTGAACACTTTGGGCACGGGGGAGCATCATAGTCATGGCCCTCATTGTCTGGGCTAGGGCTTTGGGTGAGCATACTGGAAACCTGAAGCATGAGTGTAGCCGCTGAGTGCTGCGATGGTTGTGAGGTCGGCAGCTAGCACATACAAATGGGTGCATGTCCCGTACAGCCTGGTGGCTGCTGGCTGCGGTGGACTTGGTGCGTTGTCTGCCTCCTGTGTCGCTTCCCGCCCACACTGCCTCTCTGCCTGTGTCTGCCTCCTTGTTTGTTCTGTTCTCACTGAGCACTGATAGTGTCCTCATTCTGAAATGTTGTTAGCTGGTCCACATCCATAACTTTTGTGTTTCACTCCTGCATCTTTTTTTGCAGGACTTTTGCGTCATTTTCTTCCTTTCAGAATCACTTACCCTTTTATTTAAAGAACACACATACACCCCTTCACTTACATCTTCTCTAGTTGCCCAGCACCGTTATAGTGACATATTCCTGTGACAAGACACTGGAAAGGTTAGTGCGTTATGGGCAGTCACTCCTTTGGGATAGGAGGGGAGGAGGCTGGGGTCCTTAGAAGCAGTGTGGCTACAAGCATGAGCCCTGTGCTTGTCTGCCATTTGAAACTTTAAAAAGGGACTTAAATGCTTTTGTGAAGAATGTGTTTTGTTTCACTAGTAATAGGGCAAGTGAAAATGTTGCTTAAAAGTACCTTTCTTTGCTCTGTATTTGTGAGTCCTGGCAGGTATTCTAGGAACTGCTAAGTTAGGCTTATACCTGATTTTTTAAAAAGGGATTTTCTGTCCATCAGTAGATTGGTTTACCAAGAGGTGAGCTCCATGACTATTAGTGGCCCCCTAAAGCAGAGATGGACTTTAGATTAGGAAAAGGTTCACTGGAAGTCAGAGGGGTTACAGTGTTGGAAAACTAGAAGTTTGCAGGAATTGTTGCCTGTCAGTTTGTGTGCTGCTGGTGATAGAAACGGAAGTCTCAGGGTCTGTATAGATGTAATTGCATTTATTTGATTACATAAATCTGGTTGTCTGCTTTTGGCAATATGATTAAAATATCTTGTTACCGGAGTACATATGTTGTCTCATATGATAGGTATTTTTTAAAACAATTGTTAAAAAAAATTTTGATTTAAAAAAATAGTTTTCTGATATTGGTAAATATTGGGAAAACTCCATTCTTTAAGAAGAGGAATCAAATAATGCTGTGGTGCCTGCCGTTTCAGACTCTTTAAGAGTTGCATATGAAGTGGTGAGTTCTTTTCAAAATCTAAAAGGGAGTTTCGGTATTTTAGTCTTTGTAAATGACTTTGTAAATGTACATCTAAGGATGTACATGCTATCATCCTTAGAAACACTAATTCTAGTATATGATAGTCTTGTCCATTAAGGAACCCGATGCATAATTGTTGATTTGTATTTTGAATATAGGTTGAGTTAGAAATAGAATTTTGGGGTTTTCCTCTAAATATCTTAGTTGGCTAGCTTTTTTCCCAACTAGGATCCTGGAAATTAAACCTTTCAGAGGGATTTGTGTGTCCTTTCCCCCTCAGTTGTCCCAGGGATGATATAAGACTGCATATTCAAAGCTGAATTAACCCACAGCATGTGAAGAACGCTGTGGGTGGAAGGCATTCCCTTGTGGAACCCAGCTGAGCAGGGCTGCTGGAACACACATGTATGTAAGGGAGTGGTTGGTTTTTGAATGACTATGTTAAAGTGTTCTCAGATACAGTATCAGTGACCAGTTTCCCTCAGGTGTGAGCCCTGTACTTCCAAGCTGTCCATTCTGTTGTTCTAGGAAGTGGACATCAGGTGGTCTTTGCAAGCAGTGCAAGCCATAAATGAAAGGCCACATTTATTTCAGTTAGGGTTTTTCATTATCTGTGAGTAGACTTCCAGATTTAATCTGCTGTGTCTCCTTGGCATGTGTGATACGTTAAGTTTTTATTGCTTTAGCCTAAAAAACCTGCACGTTATACCTACAGAGTATTCTCAGATTAATATCTTTAATTTCATTTAAGAGGTAAACATTTTCACCTAGTGACAAAGAGTTCAAGATTGTTAGTGTCACCAATTCCATACTGTCCTATAACGAGCCTTGTATTTGCAAAGCTTTAAACATATCTTGTTTCAATTATTTTGAAAAAAGAAAAAAATTCTCAGAGTATCATTTCTATTTTTATTTTGCCAAGTAAATTGTGTGTTCCATACCTATCATTTCTAACTATATTACACAGTTACTTGCATGCAAGTAATCTTAACATTTTAGAAAGGGACAGTACAAAACTTGGTTGGTTGCACTGTATCTCCTTTGAATCTGAATGTAGTTCAGAAAACACTTAAAGGGAAATTAACATTTCAGTTGAAGTTACAAATGTAATTTCTATCCTGTCATATTTTGGTGACCTTTTGTGACAGCTTGTCTCAATTGGAGGAAAGCATTTTTACTTGCTGATTAAAGATGTCATTTGAAACCATTTTATTACTGAGGATAGTGAAATTAATCTTGACACTTAGACCCACTAGAAAAATAATTGCTGATTCACCGCATAAAATGTGTGTGTGAACCAATCATGTCGTTAAGATTAGAATAAAAGTCTATGCTGGTGAAAAGGAGATTAAATTTTCTTTTGACTGGGGTTTAGATTTATTTGGAGGGGAGAGGAACACTACAGAAACAATTTCAAGAAATAAAATATGGCTCAGAGATTTTGGAAGAATTTAGAAGTGATGATTGAGTCCACCGCAGGAAGTAGACTTGATGATATTTAAAATGTATCTGGTGATATTTAAATTAAAACGTACTCTTCACTGTGAAAGAATGCATGAGGTGGCTTCCAAGAGTATTTAGTGACCTTTTCAGAAAATATACATTTACTAATACAAGATGCATTTATTAATTATAGGAGTAATGTGCACAGGTTTCTTAGGCGTGATGCCTGTGAAGCATGGGACAGTGAAGAAGCAGCTGCTCCATGCTCTGCCAGTGTCTGTGTTAGTAAGCCTTTCCTCATGTGACCTTGCTCTTGTTGGGTAAGGTGTCCATAGCAGACTTAACAGAGTGAAGCTTCTTGAAAATGTTCAATTCCTGGGTGATGTTTATAAATTGCCTGTGGTGGGATGCTTTATTGCTAGTATTTAGAACCCTTAGGAAACGACTGCTTCTCCAACGTATCTTCTAGGTGTAGCTGGTTTTTGGGTTTTGAATCTGTTGTAAGATCCTACCTCTTCAGTTTGTCGAGGATGAGAAATTGCTGGCTGTTTGATCCAGAGATGGTTCTTTGGCACCGTGCCACAGTATTTGCTGTGACCCTCAGTCAATTGCAGGCTTGGGATACCAGGACAAACAGCTCTTTAGAACAATTATATCACTTTTGGCTGTAGTGGTTCCAATGACATTAGCATCAAACATAGCCTAGAAAATAACAAACTGAGCTAACCATTAATTTGCCCCCTTTAACTGTATGAACTAAATTAGTGGTTATAACAAATCTAAAACAAACCAGAAAATTATATGCAATGTATAAGTCCTTAATATGTCAATTTTGTCCTCAGGGGCTAAAATTTAAAATGGGTTAGGGAGAAAATAGACAAGTGGAAGAAGAGGAAGAGGTTAGAAGTAAGGCTGAAGGACAAAGAGGAATCACACTAACTTTGGGAAATTGGTGCAGAAGAGTGGAGGGAAAAAGAGAAGGAAGAGATAGAAGAACTGAACAGACCTGCAACCACAAAGAGTTAGAAACCATGCTCACACTCATACAAAAAGATCAAACAGTGAAGGAGAAAAAAACAAAATCACCACCACAAAAAACAAACTAGAGGGGAGAGAGAGAGAGAGAGAGAGAGACAGAGAGAGGAGAGAGGGAGAAAGAAGGGGAAAAGGGGGAGGGGAAGACCACGTCCAAGTTTGTTTCTGCTGTCACTGGTAGACAATGTGTAGAGACAGAGTCCTGATCCCTGTTGACTTATACCAGCAAGCCAGCAGTAGCTTTTTGGTGGGGTACTGGATAATCTCAGTGAGCCTGCACCTTCTGGCAGAGACCAGACTTATTCAGTCTGCAGCCATCAGTGCACCTTCTGTGGGCCTGAGCCCAGCTGGGAGGCAGTCACTCAGAGTTCTGAGCTGGCTTGCTCCTCTCAAAGATGGTTCCCAGCCAGTTGCTCTCTCCTGCGGGACAGCTGAGCTCACAGCACTCACTGCCAGCTAGTGCAGTCCTTCACGTCCACTGCTCCCCTCCACTGCTGTGTCTCTCATGGAGGCCTCTGGGGTCACCAGCAGTCACTGTGTGTCTGCAGGTTTGAATCACTCCTCTCGCACAGTGAATCCCGTCTCAGGGAGAAGGCACTGCTGGCTACCTCTTTCCTCTTCATTGACGTTTCTCTCTTCAGTCTCTCTGTGGTCTGCAGTTTGCGCTTCAGATCCATCCTAGGTCCCGGGGACCCACTTCTCTCCTTGTCTTCCTCACATTGTTATATTTCATCATCTGAATGGCAACACTCAGAGAGGCTCTTTCTCTGCTGCTTACCACCCTGCCCTCTGGGTGCTCACCCCCAGCTTTTAAAAACTGAATATGAAAGTTTGAAATGGGAGGATGTTTTCATTCTTTCGGAATTGGCTTCTAATAATCTGCTTTCAGAGTGAGGTTATTAATGGCTTTTTAAAATCAGAATGATCAGGAATTTGCTTTTAGTCTTTCCCTTTGTGTATTGATGATAAAAAGATGAAGTGGCTGCAGAATGCTGTGCCGTTTAAGACAGTGGTTACATTGATACCACCCACTTCTGTTTAGCTTCACATTACACTTAGTGGTCTCAAGTACAAATACTTTAAAATTCATGGACGATGCTTGTATTTATTGTAAAGGAAAACCTTCGTATGACAGATCTCCCAGACAGTGTGTTTGTCACCCGTGGCATCATGCTGGTGAAGCACATGCTACTGTACTTCCATTGTCATGTATTTCTTCCCTGTGTTCTCTTGTGAATCTCCTCTAGGCTGTTCAGAGCTATCTAACACATATGCATTTTTTCAAATAGAGCTTTCAGCAGAAGCCAAAGCTGCACTGCTTGAATTTGAAGAAAGAGAGCGACAGCACAAGCAGGGCCGCTATGGATCCCGGCGGGGAGGCAGGAGAGGCGGCTCTCTGATGTGTCGTGGCATGGGAGACCAGAGAAGAGAGAGTGGCGAGAGGGGGAGGATGAAAGATCACAGGCCCGCCCTGCTTCCCACGCAGCCTCCGGTTATGGTAATCCACTGTCCTATTCCCAGATAGTCGGAAAGCTTCAGAGCAACCCTGGTGTGCTTTGTGGGTGGTGGTTTTATGTTTACTTCTTCTTAGAATGAAATGTTTCTGCTTTGTGATCTGTGATACAATTTCATGCATCATCTTAGACATGAGTCCTCCAGTAACCTAGCAGTACTTGATAACCCAGCATCTTTGCACAGCCCGAGAAGAACTGATGACGGAGCCCTGGTGGAGTTGGCTGTGCTCCCCTGTTGCTGGAGAGGGAGGTACCCCTTAGAGTACTGCTTTGAAAGCTGGCCTTATGATGTACAGATTTTAAGCAGTAGTTGATTATTTTATAAAAATATTTTTCTGTATACTATTTACCCTAGATTTTCTGTTAATAGCATTACCCTATGCTATCCATACAACTTTTTTGTAATTTAGGAATAAATCATGTAATTTCAACTTAAGTTAAATCTCTTCTCTATTTGCTGTGAGATGTCTTAGAAGGCAAGACAGGAATAGTGTCCTTTTTTGTTGTTTTTCTGCCAGCCTGAGGACTTTATGGCTTTCCCCTTTGGAAGTTTGGAAGACATGTGGTCAGTGTCTGCTGTGTTCCTATTGGTGTGAACTTTTCTTTTGTGCACACACTGTTGTAGGAGCTGTCCGTTTGTGACATTATGCAGTAGTAGAAGGTGAGAGTTCTGCTCCAGCATGAGAGCCCCATGTCAGTGCACTGGCTGGAAGAGAAGGAGCTGGGAAGATAGCAGCAGGGTGGCACTGGAGCTGCTGTTGTGCACACAGTTTTTTGGCTCTTAAACACCTCTAATAGTAGCAGATGGGCCAGACCTTTAGTTCCTCTTTCCTTCCCTGCCCCCGTGCCAGCCCAAGCCCACCTGTGGCATAGATGGAACAGCTAGTGCAGGTACTTTGGCCTTGAGGGGGTGGTGACAGTGCAAGAATGGGATTGTATGTAGTTGTGGCCCCATGACCTTGAAAAGTGACAGGACTCCCCTTTTTCTGACCACCTAGGAAAGGGAGGACATGGATTACCTGACTCTTTCAGAGAAGTTAATTGAGGGAAAGAGTGTGGACAGACATTTTAACAACTGTCCCAGAATTGAAGGTGACCTGCATGCTAATAGCAAAGCTGTCTCTGAATTCTGAGGGGACTGATGTGGACTGTGCAGCCAGCTAAGTAGCTGCCTGACTGGGTCTGCCCAGCCAGGGGCTGTGATGCAGTCTCATCTGGCTGTCACTGGTGCTTTCTAGCTGCTAGCCGACCACAGAGGCCAGGGCTGGCCCGGCCCATGACTCCTCACCCCACATTGGAGAAGGGATAATCTGGGCTCATGACTGCTTCTGCCTGTCTCATTGTGTCAGTCCCTTCTGCTAGAGTCCATCTTCTCAGGGCCCAAGAGAGTGTCGGCTGTATATGCACGTGCCAGTCCCGTGGACTACGTCCAGGGGCTTGAGCATCACCATCACTGCCTTTATCTTGAGCTGCACTTGCTTGGGTGTATGAGATTTGAGGTGTTCTCTCTTCTAGAATTGTCCCTTCCTTCTCCCCTCCCTCCCTCCTTCCCTCTCTCCTACATGGGTTTTTCATAGGACCTCTACTTGTCTTGAAGTGGGTGAAACAGGATCTTTCCTTAAAGTTCCGCTATCTTCTTCTTCTGTTATGACTGTGTATAGTAGTCTTTTTTGTGTCCATTATGTTTAGTTTGGGTAGCCCTGTGGGGGGATTGTGCTCTGCCTGGGGACACAGGGGTAAGACACAGTGCCCCTTCTCTCATGCATGTGTGTGCATTAAAAGGTGATGAGTGAGAACAGGATGTGGCCTGGGTTCTGGGAGAGGGAATCTGGGATCTTTGGAAAAGTCCTTCCTGAGGAAGGGTAGGAAGGAAACCAAGCCATATACAATTGTTACGGTTTGTGTCTGTGTGTCCCCCCCAAAGCCTCATGCGGTCATGGGGCAGGCTTTTTACAGTTTGACTGATTATGGGTGTGAGAGCTACACCCGCCCTGGGGTAGAAGTTTGCATATGTAAGGGAGAGGAAGAGGCTGCTTGTGGCCATTCCTCCCCTTTTGTGTTTGTTGTTTTGGCTGTGTTCTGCTGCCATGAGCTGTAGCCCTCTGCCATGTGCCACTCTGCCTTGTAACCTGCCAAGTGTGGACTGAAACCTCCACAAACTGTAAGCAAAATAAACCTTTCCTTCTTTAATTTTGGGCGTCAGGTATTTTGTCCCAGCAATGAGAGGAAAGTCACCAAGACAACAATGCAGTTCTAAGTTCTGCACATTGTTCCTCTGAAAGGGGTCCTTGCTGTCCTTTAGTCCTTGGCCATTTCTTTCGTCTTCTAGTAGCCCTGGCTGGTAGGCTGCTCTGTGCTCTCTCCTCTTCCTGTCCTCCCGTCTCACTTGCTGCTGCGAGAGACTGTCTTCCTACCAGACTCCTCAGGGCTTCTCATCAGTGCACTGTGTGTGGTGTAGTAACGACCTTTCCCAGCCCTGGCCCTCCGTAGCTTGGCATCATCCCAGGGGAAACTGCTTGTTAAATTGGCCTGCTAAATTAGTAGTGTTACTCTCATTAGCTATGTGGTCAGTTTGATTAGCAGTTAAAAGCAAAACTTGTGGAATTAGAGTGTGTGAGTTCTGATTCTACCTCTTTGCTTCTCAGTTGCATGGTCTGGTGAAGAGGATCTTTCTCCTGGGGTTGCAGGGAGCCAGGTGTGCTGCCCCATGGACAGACCTCACAGTGGACTTGAGATGATGGGGCACAGGGCCTTGTAGCTGCTGCTGTGGGTTTCTCCCTTCTTAGTGACTGGGACAGAACCGCTTGGCCACTGCTCTTCTTCCTTCTCTTTTCACATGCCGTGGCCACATTGGTTTCCTTCTTTATGGAACAGGCCATCCTTCCCTGGGCTTCTGCCAGGTGGTTCTGTTACCTGAGTGGTACCTTGATACTCTCCCATTGTGGCCTGGTGTGGTGCCAGCT